TCATTCAGAGGTTGCCTTCATTCAAATATTGCCTTTTGTTTTTTTTTTTTGTGGTTAGAGCATTTCAGTTTTCACATGAAGTGTTAGAATCTTTATTCTTCCATGTGACTGGTAACTCGCTTGAGCGCCGCCAGCTCAGTTGGGCGTGGGAGTTTTTGTTGCCGATTTTTTGTTCTCTTTTTCTTTTGTTTTTGTTTTGTTTTAGCTTTTCCGTTTCAAGTCTATTGATTGAGGCGCTCGTTTGCTGCTAGCGATTACTCATACGCCGCGTGGCACTCGTCGAGTTGTTTGTTGTTGCTGTTGCTGTTGCTTGTTGTACTTGTTGCGCATGTTTATTTGACAGCTGCTGCTTTTGTTTTCAATTCCCAGGCGTCGCCATTGGAAAACCCAAAATGAAACTCATCTTATTAGCCAACAGCAGCAACGAGACCAAACACAAACAATTCAAGTTCAGTTGAGCAGCGCACATTGCATTTGTTCATTTTGTGGGTCAACTGCGGTTACCAATACAAATGCGCCTCTGCCTTGGCGTCTCATATTTAAAATGAGTTTTTCGTCTTTCGGTCAAAACAAATGTCACATTTGGTTAGCTGTGATCCAAGTGCGGAGCAACATTCATAACTGATTCACGCCAGCTGACAGCCTAATATTCAAGCCAAATATCACATATACCTATGGATACATAAATCATTTTCTTCGTAAGCATTTCTTCTAGTTGCCTTTCCGCGTTGAACGCTGTGTACAGACTGTCATAATGCATATAGTATGTCGAAACTGTGACACAATTATATTAGAGTTCTTTACTCAAAAATAATAAACTTTTCATCTGACTAGTGACTAGTGTTACATACTATTATAACATTAATTATTAGTTTTTTTCTAAAAATAAGAACACAGAAACAACAGGGTATCTGTATAATTATTCTAAGCTCCTCCCGGTTTTAATATCATCAGAATCTTATGCCGACTCCAGGCTTGCAAACTCCTTATCCCTATGTCGAAGCTTAAACTTGCTGAGAATTATTAGCGTTAAGCATATATATTATATACTTAAAAATGTTGATAGGCCAATCTTATAAGGACTCAAGAATTATATTTTCAAAATGGTTTTACAAGGAACACCAAAAATATGAAGAAATATTGAAAAGTTAGGATTTTAGATGAAACATATAGATTAATTAAAATGGCAATTCAAAAGGATAAACAACAAAAACAAGAAAATATTTTTAAATGAATGATACCAGATGAAAGATATTAACTACAAAAACATAAAGAAATTTATTATGGTTGGGATTCTAGATGAAATATGTTTATAAAAATGGGGATTTAAACTAAAAAAAACGAGAAGAAATTTTGAAAACTAGAGATTCTAGATAAAAGATAGATTTATTAAATATGGATATTTATAAGGGAAAGTTTCAATAACTAGAACAAATTTATGAAAGTTAGTACTCTAGATAAACGATAAAGATGAAAGAGGTCGGTTCTCATTACAGAAATTTCTAATTTTCGAGCTTAGATTTTTTTTTATACTCTCTTGAAAACTAGTTTATATATGCAGCTGCGATATTTTAGGTATACATTTTTAAGATTGTGCTGATTAGATTTCACAAACGGCTCTGCCGTTCAAAATTATTAAACACGCACTAAGCAATTTCTTGTCTTCTATCTCTGAGATACGAACGGAATGAATGGACCGTTAGTAGTAAATAACCCCTTTGGCATCTGTTTAATATCAGAAAATCTCTGTATGACATCAGCCATCGGCTGGAAGATCGATGTAATTATTTCGTTTGGCCATCCTCTGCGTTCGCTTTATAACAAACTTCGAGATCTCGTCTCGGCCCATTGCTGAATGGGCAGCTAGCCAAGTGGCCACGTGGCCAGTCAGTCAGTCAGCCAGTCAGTCAGCCGGACCGTTTGGCTAACTGTGTTGTGCGTGTGTTTGTGAGTGTGTCAACCTTTTTGCTGTTTCTCTTCCATGCCAATGCAGCTGGCCATACGTAATTTCACGCCTTAATTTATTGCAATCGATGACGGCGACGCGTCGGTCGCAAAAGGCTAATTGCGAATGGCGGCCGCAAACAGAAACAACAACAACAACAACAATTCGCCGGGCCATAGAGTCTGTTTTGGCCAGCTCTGCATTATGCTATTCGCATGCTTTCTGCCCGTTTTGTTTTGTCGTGTGTAAAAAGTTCATTCAACCTTTTTTTTTCCTTCTACCCTGTATCCATTAAAAATGGGTTAAAAAGAAAGGGTATGATGATTATGTGCAAATGTATGTGGAGCGGCAGAACGAGGCTGCTTCGAGCCGATGAAATGTTTATTCCTGACCAGGTCGATGGGCTGAGGCTATCTAGCTATATTCATCTGGCCGTCTATATCTCAATCTTATTGCGTATACAGCCCACGGAAGTCACGGATGCCCCCTCTTTACCCTGTAAGAGGTCCACATTGTGGAGGCCAGGTCTATATCAACGCGTCAATCTTGAAATCTATGAGCTAGAGATTCGAAATCGCCTTTTGCTGCTTTCTCCTCGCTCTCTCATAATCGTGTATCGTATTTATCGATAAATATCGAATTAAAAAGAGTATCTATTTGAGCATGACTCGAAGACTAAACGAACTAGAAAGACAACATTTGCTATGTGGGTTAGTGGTTTAGAGCTGACATCTTCTCTAATTACAAGATCTGAATGTAAATGCCACAATTATTAAAGTCTGAATTTCTCATAGTATAGGGCTGAGAGTAGAAGAAGCACTGTGAGTGTGTAGTGTAGTGTAACGGTATGTTTTATTGTGTATATATGAATCAAAGCACAGCCCCAAAACAGCAGCTCGGCGCTAGACAATAGGGTATCTTATAGTCTCGACTAGAGAACTCTTATTATTTTTAATGCTTCATTTGTCGATTTGCGCAAAGAAAGCCAAAGAAAAAGCAAAGTTTTTATGCATTAAAAACGGACAACAGCAGCAACAGCAACAACATCAAAAAACAACAATCGTTTAACTATTGCCTGTAGCATGAGCAACAAAGTGAGCAACAACAACAAGTACTTACAATAAATGAATGCATGTACACACATATGTATGTATAGTGTATTTGTTGTGTGTTGCCTATTCACTATTCAAATACCCTACACACAAGACATATTTGTACCATGACAAACCCCTAGCAAAAAGTCGGGTGGAGATCTTTATGAGAAGCATAAGCTTATTTTTCAAGTTAAATACAGTGAAACTTTATATGGACAGACGCCAGATAAGGAATTTCATATAAAATCGATGTGTGAAAAAGTCGAAATATTAAGAAGTCACAGCTAAGAGTCGTGTGCAAAAAATATTTGACTTAATTTGGGCATTGAGTTTTTACTTTAGCCAACATAAGTTGTACTCACTTAACCGAATGAAGCGACCGTAAAGAGAAAAACCAGCAAATGTTAACAAATTGTCGGAAGGCTGATTTTAGGCTGTTTTTAGTGTGCAACACTTTTTGTCAGCAGGTGCGATTTACCTTTTCCATTGGAGGAAAGCTTTGGCGTTTATAAGTACGAGCTCTATTTAGGTTGTTTACAGTAAACGAAAAAATAATAGAAAATAGGCGTAAAAATTTACGTTCGATTGTCTACCACGATATACATATGGCATCGACAGGAGGTATCATATTACTTAGAGCTTACAGAATTATTTAACAATTAGTCAAGGTGAAGATTTAATACCCTTTTAGACGCTTTTGCCGTATGGTTTTGCAGATATGCAAAAGTAGTGAAGCTCGTGAATGCCGAGTTTGATGAAAATATCTTGGAATCAGAATATATTGCCATACGATAACCTAGTTTTCGAGCAACTATGTCATAAAGTGGTCCGATATTTGGAGGATTTTGCATATATGGAAGGAGCATAATGAAACTTAAAAATGACGAGTTTGGTGTAGATATCTTAAGAATCAAAAATGTATTCCGTACAAGAATCTACTTTTCACCCGAGTATTTCCATGGCAGCTTTATGATATAGAAAGTATCAAGACGATATCTATAAAACTGGGAGAATAGTTCGCATACAAAAATACGGACGGACGGACGGACGGACAGTCGGACATGGATATATTAACTAGGCTGCTGATGCTGATCTGGAATATACATATATACTTAATGGGGTCGTAGACGTCTCCTATGCGTTACTCATTCCATGGCAGTATTTTAATACCCTCTACATGGAAATTATATTATTATTATTATGATAGTCGATGGAGGGGATTGGGTCATTCTTTGCGATTAGTAGAACCAGAATACTTTTGTTATTTTATAAACATTTGATCGAGTTAGAAATAGAACTATCTGACAATCGCCTAAGAAAAGGCTCTAACAATTGGTGCTCAGGTGTTTCAATTCAGGGTAGTTAACCCAAACCTAATTCAACTCCCTAGCCTGGGTTCGGTTTTTGAAACTGGTTTCACGTTCTACTAAAAACGTGTTGTATATAGAACCAAACCATTTTTAAAAAATGTATGGCTCGTGAACCGACTTGGCCGTTTTTTGGAAACTGGTTTGGCTACTCTTAAATAAATATAAGCTCGGGCCAAAGTAAATTGAGCTCCGTCTAGGGTATTTTGAAAATGGCAGCGAAGCGAAAAGGGGCAGAGTGAACGACAACTAAAGTGCGTTTATGAATTGCTATAGAGGAAGTCAGTGGAAATTGGTTGCACTGTAGCCGCTAAAGGCAGGTGTCACTGTGTTACCTCACTTATATAAGACGCATATGTTTCGTTTTTTTTTTAGTTATGAAACACAGTGCAACCCAGCGGGCAAGTCAATAGCCTGACTGGGCACTGGCCTTATATGGTTCAATTGTTGAACGGTTGAATGACTTAAGAGTCAACGACAATGACGGCAACAACTGCCTGTCTCCGGCTATTTTAGCCATGTCCAAAAACAGGAAGCCCAGTCGAAAATAGCTAACAAAATGTTCAACCCTATTTTTTGCTCTCTTACTTGCAGTTAAAAGACTCTCAAAGAGAGCGAAAGAGAGCGCGAGCGTGTGTGCGAGAGGAGTGTGCAGGGCAGAGAGATAGAGCGAGAGAGCTACTGAGCTACAGCAAAAGAGCGAACCTGTGTGCAGCGTGCAGTGTGCATCATCATCCTGCCCAGCCAGACCCCCAACACGTTTCATCGAAATGAGCAAGAAACCGACTGCCGGCCCGGCGCTCCACAAGGTCATCATGGTGGGCAGCGGAGGCGTTGGCAAATCGGCCCTCACCTTGCAGTTCATGTACGATGAGTTCGTCGAGGACTATGAGCCCACCAAGGCCGATAGCTATAGGAAAAAGGTAATACCAAACTCCAGCTGAGGACGAAGTCCCACAATGAAACGATTCTCCTCTACCCCAAAGGTTGTGCTCGATGGCGAGGAAGTACAAATAGATATACTAGACACAGCCGGCCAGGAGGATTACGCAGCCATCAGAGATAATTATTTTCGCAGCGGCGAGGGTTTTCTCTGTGTCTTCTCAATCACAGACGATGAAAGCTTCCAGGCCACCCAGGAATTCAGGTGAGTGCGTGTGCCTCGAGTGTGTCAAGTGGGCGTCAGTCAACCCCAAGTGCGTCAACGCTGTCTCCCTGCAATTGTGGCTGTATCTATATCTACATCTGCCAGCGGCAGGCTCCTCTTCTAGCTTGCCAAGTGCTTATTTGGACACTGCAACACCTTCTAATTAGACGCCCACAGTTGGCCGCTGGCGGCTTTACGACAAAGTGCGCATTGTTGCCGCAGAAAAGCTGTTGAAATTAAAGCTCAAACAATTTCTATTGTAATTATGCGGTGCTTCTCACGACAGCGTCAAAGTTGTGCAAATGCATTCAACATGCTTTGCTACAAAAGAAAAAAACCCTAATCAGTATCAAATTTCGAACGCAACGAAAGCTGTGCAGCTCGGCAACTATAAATCTGGAAGAGTTTAATAAATGGTATGGAGAATGTTACCTTATTATATTATGTCATCACAGGAAAGACAACCCTTACCGACTTTTTTTTGAGATATAATCTAAAGCCGAGTAGCCAGCCAGCCAGCCTGTTGCCAATTTAGGCCCTCTTCGGACGGACGGACAGACGTATCGATCAAAAAAACTGTCAATCCATCCCTTTCTTGCAGCCATTTACATATATATTTTTTATCGCAATCTATGCTATAATCTATAACCTATTCAGAATTTGCTAAATATGTTCGAGTTGCTGGAAAACATTTTGAAAATAATTGGTTTTAATCAAGGCTACGAATAGGGTTTGAACCGTTTGAAAAGATTCGAAATTGGAACTCCAAGCTTTTTTGCTTTTGCTATAAATCGAACCTTAAGATCAAAGCCCGTGTGTTGTACAGAAGAACGGATTTCGATATATGACAAACTAAGGTTTGAATTAAAATCCAAACTTATTTGGATATAAACCCAGCTCTTCGAACCAAGTCAAAAGGCAGGAACTTGTCTCAGACCGTGAACCGAGCCATCGAAAATTTGCTTGGTACCTATGCGGCCTTCATAGAAGGTAGCCATAAAACTGCCATAAACAAAATTTGTTGTCCCATTTTTATAGCCTGAACTGTATTTGTGCAAATGTATGTAACAGGCAGAAGGAAGCATCTCCGACCCCATAAAGTATATATATATTCTTGATCAGCATCAATAGCCGAGTCGATCTAGCCATTTCCGTATGTCTGTCCGTCCGTCCGTCTGTCCGTAATTATGAACGCCAGAATCTCAGACCTATAAGAGCTTGAGACTTGAAATTTTAGCTGAAGGTCCTCCTAGTCCCCGCGCAGGTCGAGTTTGTTTCCGATATTGGATAACTTGTCCCGGTTTCAAGTAATCTATAAAAATCGATATCGAAATCCTGTTTTTTAAGCAATTTCGGCACATAATATGAGCTAGTCACCAAACTTGACATGTAGCTTCTAGAATAGTATATATATATCAAGTATCTTTCATTTTATACCTATCGCCTGTTGGAAGAAGAGGGTTCAGGGTATCCCCTAGTCGGGAGCTCCCGACTAGAACCTCTTACTTGTTAAAACTATTTTCAGACGTGTACTTGCCAATAAAATTATCGATAGTTTTTCCCAAATCATAATAGTTTGATAGTCTTCTGCTATTTTTCCGGTTCCATATTTAAGCAGTGTATGCATTAATGTTAATGTTTTAGACGTGATTTGTAGACTGAGGTCGCTTCATTTATGTACCCTTTGACCTCATAACTCGATTGATGTTTTAGATTTTACTTGTAAAGTGACGTTGTATTTGACCTCATTAATTCTTTAATAAAAATAAAATCTCGGTCGTTTTCGATTATATCTCGATAGTTGTCAGTTCTTTTTCCCGGTTCACTGCTGTTGGTACAGTATAAACGTGCATGTTTATGATTTAGGCGTGACTTGTTTGGGTTAGTTAACGGTTTTAATGTCCCCTTTGACCCCATTCGGAGTGGGGAAACATAGGCCTTGAGAGCATACAAATGCTTAGCACTACCAGCAACAGAGGGAGCATGGCGCCTGTAGCTGACATATGTCAGCCGTGAAGTGTGCCTGGGTGTGGCTCAAGAGTGTCGATAGGCCCCACAGGTGGACTGAAGCGTCTGGCGTGTTGGGTTGTGTTGACAGCGATTGTGAGTCACGGCACCATTTGATAAGCTGCTTATCGGCTGCGTCGGCAATTATTTAACCATCTAACTCATTTACTCCCTCCCACAGAGAACAAATATTGCGGGTGAAAAACGATGAGAGCATACCGTTCCTGCTGGTGGGCAACAAATGCGATCTGAATGACAAACGCAAGGTGCCTCTCAACGAGTGCCAGGTGAGGGCGCAGCAGTGGTCCGTGCCCTATGTGGAGACCTCAGCCAAGACGCGCGAGAATGTGGACAAGGTAAGTGCGGGGAGGGGAATGGTAGTTTTAGCTGGGGGAGTGGAAAAGATACATATAATATTTTCTCCAACTCTCTCGCTCTCTTTGAATGCGCGATATATGTAGATCAAATATATATACAATTTAATGTAAACATTTGCAGAGACATTTTTGAAGGCTCTTCATCAATTGGCTAAAGCAAGCAAAACCCAAAGAAATATTCAAATATCATGATTAACATAATTATGACAATTATGAGCAGAATATCAGAAAAACGAAATGCAAAAATTTATTGCACACACTTTTTGTTTCGTTTTAAGTTTTTATTTTTATTTTTATATACATATATACTATATAACAAATATATGTATATATATATATGTATACATATTTATGATTATGTGTGTTTTTGTATTTTGTGATTACCGCACACAGTAATCAGCTGCAGCAACAACAACCACAACAAATACAACTACTCACAACAATAGCTAAAAAAAAAAGTTGACTAACTTAATTTGTTCTATCACGACTCACATTCAATATTGTTATCAAAGCGACTGCCCAATGCAAATCTTTTTTCAAATATTTAATAGTCACTCCTGTTTTTGTCTAACACAGTACAGCTCAAACTTATTTAGATGAATTTAAGTTTTCTTTTTCACTTAATACTACGTTTATGCCATGTACAGTACGTGAATTGCCTTAAATTCGATTAGTGGACGCAGGTCTTTGTTGTAGCCAAAATAATATATCTGAGTGACAATCGATTATTTTTGCAGACAAATAGCTAAACAAAACTTTAAACTATTGTTTCTAAGAAACCGTAGCTTCATTTAAGTCCGGCAAACGTTTAGTTCAAATCCATTAAATCCATTGTCTTAATGCAGACTTATTTGTGTTTAAGTTAAGCAAGTTTTCAGTCAACCAATGCATAAATGAATTCATCGATAATTTCTTTCATCCCAGCACACATACAAGTACAGTTGTCGTTTCAAGATTGACCAGATTTTTTTCGGCACTCTTGAATAGAAAATATTAAAAAAAAAATACGTAACATTCACCAAATGTTATTAATTAAATTCAATTGAAAATAAAGTTAACCATATTCCTTAATTTGTAATTGTTTTATAGGCAACATAGAAATTAATATAATCAATAACTGACATTTTTAAGAGCAAGAAACCTTTCTTAGTGTTTCAATTTGCGAGCGATGCCCCAACAACTCATATTAAATATATAAAACAAGATCAAGGCATACATAAAGAATATCTTTAAATTAACAAGAACCAAGCGATGTCTGAAAACTAAAATTGGGCAAAAAACAGATCACGTCCCACATCATTTCCAGTTAAATATTGTCCTGATTGTAATCAGTTGGGTATTTTTTCCCAAACTCATCGAAATCGATAACGTTACAATGCGCCCCTGACAGCACGCACAGATCATCGTATCATACTTTACAACACTGTTATCGCTATCGTCATCGTTTATTGATGTTGTTAACGCAAACAGCAAGAATGTTAACATATTTTTATTTTAATTTTATTTTATTTTCGTATTGCCAGCGCGTCTATGTATTTCTCACATTCAGCAACTCTGTGTTTAAGCATAGCACGAACCCACACATACACACACACACATATACATATATACATAACCTCTTTTTCACACTCACATTTTAGCTCTATCCTTAACAATCGTATGAAAAGTACTTATTTGCGTTTTCTATCTTTATATTACATATATATAATATATACATATATATCTATGTGTACATGTATATTTTATTCCCATCACAATTGCAGGTATTTTTTGATTTGATGCGCGAAATAAGATCACGAAAAACCGAAGATTCGAAAGCCACGAGCGGGCGTGCTAAAGATAGATGCAAGAAGCGGAGACTTAAGTGTACCCTACTTTAGGCATTAGGTGCATACAAAAATTATTTGAAAAAAAAAAAACAAAAAAAAAACGTAAACAAACAGCAACAACAACAACAACAACAATTATATAAAAGCACACACTAGTTATGCTTAAAGTAAATACCCCTATTATATTGCCCTTAAGTACTTGCGTAGCTTACCTTCTTTCGCTTTTGGCTTTTTGCAACACTAAAATCGATTTTAGTTTTAACAATTTTTACCCCTTATTTTATCTTGTTTTGATTTCGATTTGAGTACCGCTTGTTTTTGAGTTTATTAACTTTTCTTTAACTTTTTAACCTTGAGTTCCAACTTGGCAAACACACACCACACACAACAATAACACTAAAAAGTAATACAACTTGAAAACCTGTTGCATATCGATTAACTTAGATGTTTACTAACCATAAGCTCAGTGATCTGCCCAATGAGTCCAGCATGTTCATAATCAATCTTGTGATGGTAATCTATATTTTTCGCTAGTTCAATTTTTCAAAGAATAATAAAAAAGAAGAAGTGATACTGAAGTCTTATAAACTAATTTTGATTCTATTCTTTACTTTGTTGTATTTTAACTGAAAAGCAGCCAACCATGTTAGATTAATTCATTATAGCGATAAAAAATATAAACATAGATTTTTTTCATCTTCAGCCTTAAAACACTTCACAATATCATCAAACTCTTTTTTTTTTAGTTGCCATCAGAAAGCTCAACTATTAAATATAAATTACTAGATTGATAATCGATACCTATCGACGTTTAATATATCGATTATAAAGTGCAGCGCAGGAAAAATATATAATTGTTCTCATCTGTATTTCTAACAGTCACTTCTATAACACTTTGCTGCACTAACAAGTTAGAAAACACATTTGTCAACACTAAAGTTGAGTTTTTTATGCGGACAGTAAAACTTTGTATTAATACATGCAGTTAGATGCGGACGTATTGTACAAAATGAACAACATTCATTCTGGACGACAGCCATATAACTTATTTAAAAATACACTGGCAATAATTTATGTTATTGTATATTATAAGAAAGACACACACTACAACATTCATATGTACATACACACACAGATCGACACATACACACACACATATTTAAGTAGTTTTATTGATTTTGGATGAATTTAGCACAATTGATTTTTATTAGAAATATGTAATTTTCGTATGGGCATATTTAAAGCAATAAAAATATGCCGCAATATTAGTTTGGAAAGTTTATTATTTTTGTTTGTATTTTATTTGATTTAATTACATCTTTGGTTTTTTTGGTTTTGTTTTCTTGACTTTTTCAAATTTCGTTTTATGGTGTATGAAACTTTTTGCTTTCGGTTTTTAGCCACTTTCAAAATTATATGTAATTCTAGAATAACCTATATTAACATAAAAAACAATATAATTAAATGCATTCGATTAATATTGTTTCCTATTGTTTAGGTATTTTTCGATCTAATCAGGGATATTTCATCACGCAAAAAACAACGTCAGATGGACGTAAAAGAGCCGGCGAAGCCTTCTCCTTGCTGCCAATTGTTGTGAACACTCAACTGCGACTAGACCAACAGCAACACGACAACAACAACAACAACCAAAACAACAACAACAAAGGCCACACTGATATACAGCAAAAGCAACAGCAACAGCAACGGTAACGGAAACAAGCAACAACAACAAATCAGAAAAGAAATAACAACAAGAAAAATAATAATTGTGTTATTGTGTTAATAATATTTAATAACAAGCTAACAACAAAAATCGTATCAAAATTTTTTGCAACATGTCAACGATGATTAAAAACTAAATAAATTATGAATTATATGTAATATACATAATTAAATAAAACTCTAAATATATAAACTAAAGTAAAACGAAATCCATTGTTTAGGCAACAACAACATCAATAAAATTAATTTAAAAATAGAAAAGATGTTTCAAAGCACAGCCGCCGCCAGCTTTTAAATTAATAATTTTAACAATTTACTTTGCTTAACTATCAAATGAAATACACACACACACACACATATATATATATATATATATAAATACACACATATGTTATCAATTTAGCGAGCTAAAACAACAACAAATAATGCAAATTTATAAACATTTGCACTTTATTATATTCAATTTGATTTAATATCGTTTTTATTTGTTGTGTATAAAGTAATAGCAAAATGTCAAACAATTAATTAAAAACAAATACACCCACACTTACAGAAAAGCTTTTTATAAATATATATACACACAATTCATATATATATACATAAATATAGTTAAAAATATACAATTGTAAAATGCAGCTGCAGGTTGAAAAGAAAAAAAAAACAAAAATAAAACAAAACAAAAACTCAACAACTCCATCTCTAATCATGATATTAATACAACTAATTAATGAGAGTACTCTAATTAAAGCAAACTTTTATGCGATTTTTGTAATTTTCTAACCAGCCACAAATGCAAAAAAAAAAAAACAAAACAAAAATCTTAATGTTAAATTACAAATACGAATAATGTCAAATAACATTTGTAACTGTTTGTTTCAAGAAATTGTTTATTAATAATCGTCTTCTTTTTTTTTTTTTGCTTGAACTGCAGCAGATTATAAACTTGTTTTAAAAATATTAAGAATTGCAAATTTTCAACATTTTTTTTTTTTTTTTTTTTGTTTCTTGTGAACTGCATTCTGTATTTTAGTGTTTAAGCTATTATTATGATTATTATTATGATTATAAATATTATTATTATAATGGAAATGCCTACATCTAATTATTATTAAATATATAAGTTATGCAATTTACTTGATTTCCACTTTGCATTTTGCTATTCAATTTGCTAAGCATTCGTCTTCTATTATTTCGTTAATTTTTTTTTGTTTTGTGTATGATAAATCGAGAACAGAAATGCGAAAAATGTTGCTATGTATACATAAATATATAGATTATATTATGATAAGGGGCCTAGAGGGAACTGGACAATCCGAAGCAGCCGAACACCAATTTTTTTAGCGTTCTTCTTTCGCACACACTTCTTTTTTGCTCTCACTTATCTATAAACACAATACACAGTCCCATACTTATAAATACAATACAACACTATATATATATACATCAGAATTTAAATAAGAGTAAACAGTTTTTTAGCTGCAATAGCAAAGCATTTTTTTTATGAACTATTATAATGATTATGAGTAAAACTGGATTCAAAATATGTTTAGCTTGCAAATAAAACAAAACTATGAGAAATCAAATACAAAACGTGTTTTATTGTTTTTAATACGTATATTTAATTAATTAAGTACATACGTGAATAAGGTGTATCATCGCAAAATCCTTCCTTATATACCCGAACTATTCCCATTTATTTCATTATAAGAAAAGATTCGACTCTAGGACTAGTGAAACTCTGCAGTTGTTACGTAGATCCCCGATGAGCAGCCGTTTTTTACTTTGGATTAGAAAATCGATTTGAAAAAACTACTGCGATGTATCAGAAAACTCGAAATCGATAAATCGATATTGTCCTAAAGTCTTGTACATTAGAAAAACATTTACTAAGGATATGAATATGTGAATGCCAAATATCATACTTAATTATTAAAAAAAAAATTATTTGTACTTACAAATTCCAAACACAAAAGCTGAAATTATTAAGAAATATTAATATTGAAAGCCTTTTTTTCTTCACTGTCGAAAAAATGCGGCACTGAAGTTCCAGATTTGTGGCAGTCATTGGGTGCAATGTCGTGTTGTTTATATTGTACTCCATGTATGCACAAAGCGGCCCAACGCCGGGCAATTTTCTCTATTATGAACATGTTTGGAGCACATGAATCAGCTATATAAATCTGAGAAGTTGTGTACTGGAAAAAGAATATTTGCTCGGATACTCAATGATAAATTACACAAATTTACATTGCTTTGAAATCACTTTTTTATTTTTTTCTTGCATTTTTGTTTTCTTTACACATTTATAGAATATATATATACATATATATATATATATATATATATTATATTTTTTTTTTCTCATATATTTTGTTACTCATTTTTTGTGTTGCTTTGTTTTTGTTTTTTTTTGTGGTTTTTTTATGCTTTTAAAATTAATTTTACATATTACATTAACAGCTAAAAGATGTTCGTTTTTTGTATTTATTTATTTTTATTTTGTTTTTAATTTTTTGTTTTGTTTTTTTGACTGCTTTCTGCATTGCTTTATAACTTTTTCGTGTTTGTATTTATTTAATTTACGTTTATAATTTGCAATACTCCCGATTTGTTTTCAACTTTAAATTAAGTAAATCGAATAATAGCATTTCTAAAATGAAATTGTTTAGTAATTATAAGAATAAAGTATTATGTTCATTACTTGGCTACTTACAAAGGTAATTAATTAATTATACAAAAAAAAAAGAAATTAGAAACACATACTAAATTAATTACTTAATAAGCAAAACATATAAATATGCAGATCTTCAAAACGAACAAACTAAATACATTTTAAATAATTTTTTTTAGATTTTGTTATTATATTTTTACATATATTTTTATGTGGTTTTTCGGTTTTTTCTTTTTAGAACTTACAACTAAGCATTTTACATTTACATTTAAACATTTACACAAACATTTATGCTCTAACACTAAGTTCTTGTTGTTCTTTATTTTATTTAATTTTCTTTTTTTGTTAAGTTTAGTGTTTTTCTAATTCTTTTGAAAATAGATACCAACTGCGTTGCATTTGCTTTTTAAAATGTTTCTGGTGTGAAAATAAACTTTGATTTCTTTTTCATTCTTTCATTTCGCTTTCAATTCTCAACTCTAAACTTTTTTCTCCTTAACTTTGCCTGAAACTAAAATTATTTATTGTTTTCCATAAGCAAGCATATTTTACATTTATCATTATTTCTCAACACGATTTAAGTTTGTTTAAGCTTTTTTTTCCTTTTTAACTATTTTAAACCGTGCCAAAAATAGAAACTTGCCTTTTAAATGTCCGGACACATACGTTTTTTTATAAGTTTTTTAATTTAGTATTTACAAATGGCAAAAACATATAATTGAAATATATATTTGCATGTTTTAGCATATTGAAAGCTGATTGTTTTTTTATTTTGGTTTGATTTTTTTTTTTGTTTTTTTTTTTTATTCCCAGCATCAAAGATTCTAAAAATAAAAATGTTTCGTTTTGTTTGTTTTTTTGTTTTTTGCATTTTCTTTATCAATTATGATTCTCTAGCAATCATTATTGTTCAAAAGATATACACCTAATCCTTTTTTTTTTTGTTTTGTTTTTTGTTTTTGTTTATGTTTAATACTTTTTCTTTAACACTCGCGCACACACATACAAATACACATTGAAAAAATGCTCCAAAATATAATATTTAGTTTAGTTTTTGTCTTCTGCTTAAATTTCAAAAAGTTGTGTATATAAATATTTCATACAAGATCTTCATTTTTATATGTATATATAGTAGCTGTGACTAAAAAAATTACATTAGATTTTGGATCAGTGATTAAAGTAGAGCTCTTAAGGCGTTTGTTCAGATTTCTACTCGTTATACAAAAAAAAATATAATAAAACAATTAATATTAAAGAAAATGTCGATTTGGCCGTTCAACACACATTTTTCCAACATTTACAACTAAGTCAAGAGTTAAAGAAAATAAATTGAAAGTAGATATAGAAAATATATATATATATATATGATTCTGGCTACCAAAGGTATGCACAACACAATCGGATGCTGCAATATGAATTTCAGCCACAACAACAAAAGAACTAAGCATTATAAAAGTGAATATAAAACATTATAGTTAATAGTTGACTAATGTGGTTAATGTTATATATGTATGTATTGTCTCTGTACTTTTTGGGTAACTCTTGTAAACTAATTGACCATGGATGTGCCCAATTGAGATATTGCTCATATTAACAGAAACAAAACTGACTATTGAGGTCTCCCACACGCTTGCGTGTGTACAAACAGTGAATGCAAGGCAAAAGTGGACTTAAAATGTTTGAATTTAACAAAAATCCTAGTCAAAAATGTGACCATGGATGCAACAGAGCCCTTAAGTGGTGTTTATTTCGCATAAAGTGACCCTGGCTTGCGCTCTTCAAGGAGGGAACGCGAAAAGAAAAGTGAACATGGAGAGTAAAAATAACCTTAATTTTTGCTATTTATTTATAACATGGACATAAAACGACCTGGGTAGGGTCAAAAATTATTTAATAACTGTTTGTTATTTGGCAAACAATAACAACAAGAGAACTGAACTGGGAGACTTAGCTGAATTGTGTTTAATTGGCCAAAAAATGTTCGTTTATTCACAAATGACAGTTTTCATACTATGCCATGTGAAGTTTTACTTGACTGTGTGTTATAAGTCTATTGTTTGTATTTTTATTGTTTACTTGCTTTGTGTTGTGTGTTGCTTATTGCACTATTTTCTTTTGTTTTTGTTTTTTTTTTTTAACATTTTCTGCAGCTACGCGCTTTTACGACACATTCAACATATATGTATGTACGAGTATGTAATCACTACATCAACTACAACAACTACACATATGCATTGACCATACATCGAATACATCATGTCTATATAAACGTATGTCTCTAACACACACACACACACACACACACACGCACACACACAAACGCACACACATGCGCACATTATAATATATATGTCAACAGAATGTAAAAGTTGATTCGGTTTTTTGTTTTTTTTTTTGGTGGTTCGGCCAGTGACAGTTGGTCAAAACTATCGACATGTGGCTATATGTACATATATATAGATATATATGTATTTTAGCAGCTGTTTCTATAAAATGTGTTTACTCAAAAGCAGAGTTTGTTCTTCTTTATCGTGTGTGTGTATATATAAGATCTAGAATATGATCTAACGGTTTGCGTGGGTTCTTAAAAAATGTTCTCTAGTTTTTCTTAGTTTTGTTTGGTGTTTTCGTTTACATTAGATGGTTTCGTTTGGTCATAGAATACGCTGCTATAAACTAACACGCACTCACGCACGGACACACGCACGCACACACGTGCATACATATTGCTAATTGATTTTGCACAGTGTATGTAATTAATATGTCTTAGATTCGTTTTTTGTCACACATCAAATTTTTGCAAAAAAAAAAATTGTTTGCTATTTTTGATTTGTTTTTTTGTTCAACTTTCTCATCAAGTGCTAGTTAAACACATACATGCATACACACTTATATATATGTACATATTTATGTGCTTACATATGTACATACTTAATGTGTACATACTACATATATCTATATATATAAATATATATATACATAGATATGCATGCGGTTTTATAAAGCGTTACCCATTTGGTGGTTTCTGTTACAACAGCGCATTTTTTTGTTGTCAATATTTTGTTGTTGTTTTTTTTTAAAGTTACTATTAATTGCTGTTCATGTGTGTGTGTGTGTGCGTGTGTGTGTGTGCTATGTGATTTGTTGTTGGCTAATATACAAATTTTGTTTAGTTTATATTGTTTTAGTTTTTGCTAGGCTTGCTATATAAACTATATTTGCATAAATACATGGTATGTGGCTAAATATTTGCTTTATATAATAGATCTTACTTAATATGTGTTTGTTTAAAATGTGTGTTTGTTTAAAATGTGTGTGTGTGTGTGTGTGTGAGAGTGTGAGTGTGAGTGTTTGTATATGTTGCTGTTGTAGCCCACTAAATGTTTTTGTTGTCTGCGATTTGTTGTTGTTGTTGTTGCTGTTGTTTTTTATATAACTTTTGTTGTGTATAAAATTATTTATTAAAAATAATTTTCTCTTTTGTTTAAATATGTATTTTTCTTTGTGTTTCATTTTTGTTTTGATTTTCAAAATCGATGCTTAAATGTTGGGCGGAACTGTTATGTTTTGTTGTTGTTGTTGTTGCTGCTGCTGCTGTGTGCGATTGTTGTTTGTATAACAGAAATCGAAGAAACAGAGAGTTGAGAACGAGACGTTTGTTCGTTGTTGTTGTTGTTGTTGTGTTTTTTTTTTAGTAAGGTGGGAGCTGTTGCACACAATTCAGTTGTTGTTGTTGTTTTAGTTGATTTTTTTAAAATTTATTAATTGTTGTTGTTGCCTCATGGTGTTAGTTGTTGCAATCTACTGCGCCGCAGTGCCGCTGCGCATCAAGAAATTGTAATTGCGATCCTTTTCCGCCTGATGAAAGCCAGCGGAATGGCCTGCAAATTGTCGGAAAATACATTAATATTAAAATAAATAGGGTTCTTGTTTTGGGTATTGTTTACCGTTTGCTGCTGCGGCCGCGTTGGGCGTTGTTGCCACAATGGTGGCGCCACCAGCGCCGACATGGCGCTTGGCGCTCAGCAAATGCGTCGTCGCCTGCGTCTGCGTCGGCATCGGAGGCGAGGAGCTGGCCGATGAGGAGGATGACCCCGCCGACGATGATGATGAGCTGGACGAGGACGATGATGACGACGAGGATGAGGACGACGATGACGAAGAGGAGCCAATAAACGAGGCCGACGACGAGACGCCGCTCGACGAGGAGCTCGGCGACGGCGATGGCGTTGACGGCGTTGGGGAACCGCGTGTCGTTAGCGTTGCCCCAGCCAAATTTGGACTGCCCGCCGGGCTACTCTGCTGCGACGTGGACAATGCTGTTGTTGGTGAGCGGTTGTTGTTGTTGTTGTTAATGCTGCTGCTGTGCTTGAGCAGGTTCATGGCAACAGCAGCTGCAGCGGCCTCGGGATTCAGTAATGGACTCTGATGCTGATTCGGATTCTGTGCATAGTTGACTGCAGCGGCAGAGGTAACATTGTTGTTGCTGTTGCTGTTGTTGTTGTTGTGTTTGCTGCTGTTCGCGTTGCTCTTGCTTATCACAGGTGACATGGCCGTTGTTGCCACAGCCGTTTGCAACTGCATAGATGGTGAGAGAGCGTGAAAAAGAGAGAGAGAGACAGCGAAAGAGGGAGAGAAAGAGACGGAGGTTAGCATGACATTTTTTAATGTTTAACTGTTCTCAATGTTCATTCAGATATGATAGATGGACAATCGACAGGCCGATTTATGGAAATAGTTAAACTGACTCTCATTCCTGGAAACCCTACACATATGCCTCTCCACGTGTGCCACAAGTGGCACAAATCTAATCAAAACTGGCACTTTATTCTTTCAATGGCACACTTGGCGCTCTTGATATTCTATATGTTTGCTTGGGTTTTTTAACACAATTGGGTGTACTTAAAATATATAAAAATGCAGACAAAAGGAAACATTTGCGACCACTTAAAGCACATATTTCTTTGACTAGCATCAACAGCCGAATCGATTGAGCCATGTCTGTCCGTCCGTCCGTTGGTCCGTCTGTCGTTGATCTCGATAACCAAAAGAACAAGAGAAATGTAAATTTAGCAGTACGCATTTGACTCAAGCAATTGATAACTTGCCCCGTTTCAATGCAATCGATCGAAATCGATATTGATATCCTGTTTGTTTGGTTCAGATTGAGAATATGTAATTTTTCGGATTATTGCCTTTTCCGGTTCTACCCGAAATTCTAAGCAACCTTTGTTTTTGAAGCTATACACTTGGGCTTTGTTATTTATTCCCAGTTGGATTCCATGAAAACTTCTTAAGCATCGGACAATGAACACCTAAGTAATTCAGGCAAGCATTCAAAGGGAAGAGGTACAGCAGAAATACATATAATATATATTTATATTTATATACTAGCGGGTATAACCCGGCCTTGCCCGTGGCACGTATATTATAAAATCAACAAACTTAAAATTCACCAAGAAAAACTTTGAAATGCATTTTCCACCGAAGGAGTTTCGATTTTGCGAAAAATGTGAAACACGTCTCAAATGATTTTTCTTATAGATCTTTGGAAATAAATTTGAACACAAAACGTCATCCACCAAATCTTCGACCCCCATTTGCACCAAGGACGGATGGATTTTTCAAAAAGTGTGAAACACCCCTCAAATGAATTTGAACATAGATCTTTGAACATGAGTTTGGGGCCGATCGGATAGTAAACAAAAAACTTTCATACAACCGTTTTCCGCCAATTTACCACTGTTGCGGGTGGAATTTCATCGCTGAAATACGTATCCATTAAGTTCTTATGTAGAGCTTTGAAAATAAGTTTGAAGCAAATCGGACACAACTTAAAACTTCGCCCAAAAAATCTTTGAATTCTGCGAAAAGTGAAAAACACGTCTCAAATGAATTTTCATATAGATACTTGTAAATTAATTTGAGGGCGAAACATCACCCACCAAATTTTTGACCCCCATTTCCACCAATGAGGGATGCATTTTCCAAAAAGTGCGAAACACCCCTCAAATGAATTTGAACAAGACCTTTGAAAATAAGTTTGAGGCCGATCGGATGGTAAACAAAAGAGTTACATACAAACGTTTTTCGCGATTTTCCCACACTTGCGGGTGGAATTTCCCGAAACCCCTTCTTAACGTGCACCTACATCACATAAGGTAACTACAGTGAAAATTTCAGCTTTCTAGCTCTTACGGTTTGGGCTGTGCGTTGATCACCAATCAGTCAGTCAGTCAGTCAGTCTGTCAGTCAGTCAGGACAAACAGTTTTATATATAGAGATATTATAATATTGGTGATATTTCATGGAATTTCATTCATTTGCTGGAAATTTTTGCTAAGAGTGGCAAGTGGCAACCGCGTGTAGCTTCTCAGACAGAAAGATACAACATATTATATTGGAAAATCTAAAAATTGTTTTAGAAAATACTTAAAGATTGACGTCAAGTTGGCATTCAGCTCAGATCTTAATTTAAAAAATAAACTTTTTGCACAGGAAATTCACATATGTCTTTGCTCTGCTCCCAGATTCTTGTATGCGCCGAATCGGGAGGTCCAAAACTGGTTAAGTAAGCTGGCGAACTAGTTCCTTATGGTTGAATTAATTGTTCACAATTATGAATTATATAGAAATTAACATTTTTGGATAGGAAATTGCTAAATTGTTTTTGAAAGCACTCGAAGAAGTAAATGAATTAAATTTAAATAAATTCTTAAAACTCCAAACAAACAACTGCTTCAAGAAATGAACTGAACTGAAATGAACTACATATTGGAACAACTAAAATGTGCAGAGAGTCGAAAGTGCTGCAAACTAGTGAAAGATAAACTGATCATTGTTGCATTCACAACTGGTTCAGTAGACTGGCTCGATAGACTGGTTCAACTTGATAAGCTTATTGTGAACATGCTTCTCTTTTTTGCAAACATGCTGATGAACTTTAATGAAATGTTCTAGACTTGGCATCAATAGTTTTCAATGCAACTTACAACAGCGGCACAGACGGGCGCGGTGGTGCCATCAAACAGAATGGGTGGGGCTGCTCCGACTACTGATGATGGAGATAACGACGACAACGATGCTGAGGATGATGATGACGATGTGGTTGCCAGGCAAACGGCTTCATTGACATCTGAAATGGCAGCAAACGAGAGAGAGCTTTAGTTAAATGTATTTGGGCAATTTTGAATAGATATTCGAGGCAAACGCAACTGAAGATCAATGCGATCCGATCCGATTCGATTCGATTCGATGCGAATCGAAAGATTTCTATTGCATAAGCTGAAGGTCGTGGCGGGGGTTTGCGGGTTTGGCAGGGGCTGGCGTGTGTTCGGTTTCAAATGATATGCAAAACTTGAGCTACTTTTTGTAACTTGCGCTGAGCGCAAATGCAAATGTCGACAATTTGTCGCAAGTCTCAAGTGTTTTTAGTTGCATTCGTTTTCATGGCTGCCCATGTAGCCGGCTGTGCACACTTCCACACTCCCACACTGCCACACCTCGCCCCACCCCTCCACAAACGCCTTCATATTTTAAGGTTCCACATTACCTTTGTCGCTGAGTGGAATGCTCTGATCCGTGGGGCGTTTCAGGCTGTTGAGCCGTTTCTGCAGCTCAAACTTTTGTTTGGCCAAGTGCTCCATCTCTACCTCCTGATCCCGTTCGTATTTTGACAGTTGCTATAACAAGAGACCACACATGTCAGACAGAGGCAGATGCAGTGAGACAGAGAGAGAGAGAGAGAGAGAGCGCGAGGTAGAGACGGCTATATGTACATACCAAGACATATTTGTGGGCCTTGTCGAGTATTATCAAATTGGATGTCTTTTTGCGATCCTCCTCCTTGAGCGGCAGCTCGTTCTTAAGCACCTCGTAACAGCCCTTGAGATGGGCCCGCCGATTCTTCTCCAGCTTGTTGTGCACCTCGCGCGTTCCAGCCCTTAAAAGAAAAAACGAAGAAAACATTTCAAAAACATAGTTCAGGTTGAAGGATTCTATACAAAATGCCAACAAGACTATCAATATCTGCGGGTTATCCCTGTTATCATGTGCAGAAGTTCTTAATTGGATTTTAAAACGATATCGATAGACGAATTGTGGGTATCAATGATCGATAGACGTATTGTAGGAATCAATATATCGGTAGACATATTCTGGCCATATTAATTTTTTTTTAATTGAATTTTTAAAATAATACAGAAAAGGATCTGTAAAATGAGAATACAATAATTTGCCTTGAAAGGCTGTAGTTAAACGATATCTAAAGACGTATCGTAGGTATTAATGTATCGATAGACGTATTGTGGGTATCAATATATCGATTGATAAATGTATCGATAGTCATTTTGTGGATTTCTAAGTTTTTTAATTGGATAATTAAAGGAATTCGGAATACTATGTATGGATAAAGTTCTTTAAAATGTTCAACGATATTGATAGACGTATCGTGGTATTCAATGTACCGATAGTTGTGAATATACATAAATGTATTGAAGATCATATCGTAGGTATCGACTTAACGATAGAGACATAGATTTACTTCAATTATACATTGAAGTTATCTGAGATCTCGATTGATTGCATTCTTTTTATTACGCAATTCGTAGTTGAATCAGAGAACTTATTGATTACGTATGAGTATATTCTCAAAGAACACATGAGTACATACAATATTACGAATAGGTATCTACAGTTGCTTTTGATTTGCTGGCACCTATGTGTTCTATGAGCATTCCGGACAGTCTTTGGGTCGCAGATAGATAGATAATTTATAATTTAGTTGGGCTGGGTTCACTTACCCATTGCTATTAGAGCTGATGGTACGCCTGCGACCGCCATGACCGGTCAGCTGAGATCCCGTCACTGGCGCCGAGCTCGAGACGGATACGGCCGATGCCTGATGCTGCTGATGATGGTGATGCTGCTGCTGCTGGGCATTGAGAATCTGTCGATATGAAGTGACGGCTGTGGCGTTTACGGCTCGTCCTGCGCCCCCGTAGCTCATGTGCGCATCCTCCGAGCCGATGAGTGCGCCATGGGATTGCGCTGAAAATTTATGGGAGGACATTGAATGCGAGCGGATTCTGGCATGCGGCTCAAACACTCGCCGAGTGGCCACCGGGGGCGGGGTAAGCGTTAATTGCGATTTGGGCATTTCTCGTGACAGCGCCTGGAAGGCGGCCAATGCGCCATCGCCAGAGATTTTATTGGCGCTCGTTGCGGCCGCTGAGATGCCAGCTCCAACTGTGGCTGCGGATCCGGCTACGAGTCCGGCCGACGCTTGCGTTGGACAGGCGCCTTTGGCGTCCGCCAACACGAAATACTTGCACGGTAACTCGGAGGCAGCGCTGGCAACGCCGGCTGGCAGCTTGTGCTTCAGCTGGGGCGCGGTCGTAGCAGTAGCCGTAGCCGTGACCGTGGCCGTGGCCGTGACCGGCACCTGAACCTGCAACGGCGACGAGCTTGACGCCACCAACACAAAGGTGGAGCCATCGAAGCGGCCAGCGCCAGTTAATTTTGTTGCACTTGTTGCATTTGCAGCTGTTGTTATTGTTGTTGCTCTGCCTGTCGCGACTTGTTGTTGTTGTTGTGGTTGGGGGTAGGAGTTGGATTTGGAGTTGAAGTTTGTGGAGGAATTTTCATCCTCTAAAAAAAATAATAAAAAGAAATAAAAACAAAATAAATAAATATAAGAAATATGCCAATAGGCCAACGGCGAATTATAAAAGAAAGCTAACTAAAATTAGTATAAGAAAAACACTTTCAAAGAAATTCAAGGCCAACAAATCTGATATTATAATATATTCTACGTGCGTCTGTGTCTGTGTGTGTGTGTGTGTGTAGGTGTGTGTGTGTGTGTCTGTTTATAGACTGATAAATGAAATGTTTAAGTGCAAAGAAATACCTTAAAAAAAAGGTAACCTGCTTTTAAACCAAAGTTAAATGCAAACGCAACCAAACTAGATGATGCCCATCTTCATCTTCCCTTAGCCCCCATATCAGGGAGAATGCGCTCTACAATAACTTCGAGGTTTATAGTCCTATATTTGTACATGCTGTTGGGCTTAAATATGGCACTCGAACAAAGGCACAAGGCTCTGATATTATGAGTTTTTTCTGTTCAATTTTTAAATGGTACCCAAAAAGGAAAATGATCTTAGCCTGTGTAAACTTTATGAGCTACTATCTCGATCTGTTATACTATACGAGCTAGTGTCTCGATCTGTTACACTGTATGAGTTAAACCTTAAATACCTAGTTTCCAAACAGATATTTATCTATATTATGGGTATTGAGAATGATGTTGAATTGAAAACAAACAATAAACTCGCTCTGAAAACCTTTTCAGTTGAATACAGGGCATATTATGAGCTAAAAACAATGCAAAAATACAAATTAAGTTGTTAAATAATAAGCAAGAACAACAACAACAAGCAAATAAATAACTTATAATGAATTTGAAAATATATAATTATGTTAAAATGAATAATATAATCAGCGAATGCTAATTTTATGTGTGAATATTAATGAATCAAGCGAATCGGATTAATCTCACTCCAAAATCAACAAATTAGCTATGTGCTATGCATATATATATGTATGTACATATATATACATATATATTTAACTGCACACATGCATACATTTAATGAATATGTTGCAATCTAATTATTTTGCGAACAATCAAATATTTTCCCACAGCCAACGACAATTTGTCAATCAATATTTTATGCTGTTCACGTGCTTTGACATGTGCGTATATAATTTTTATACAAAGCTGTTATTTTTATAGCCCAAACCCGTTGATATCGATCTCGGATACTACAAAAGCTAGAGACTTGAACTTTGAAAGGGACATACTCTCGTACATCAAACGCGGCACAAGTTTATCATTATTTCGATATCTTTTGCCATTCGCTTAATATAGAAAAATATCGATTTTAAGACTTGGGTCTTAACTCGGAAATTATACACCAAACTTGGTACATAGATTGTCGTATAGTTTACTAACAAACAGCATCAACTCTAAACCAACAATAGAACTTGTATGCCCCATGAACAGGTTGCAACCCCAAAGACTTGAAACTATGTCAGCAGCAGAAGAAAATTGAAACATTTTGCCCTTAGTAATAATATGCAATTTTCTGTAGGTAAACCTTAATAGTACAATTTAGTTATAGTATATCTATAGTTCTCTTTTAAAATGTCATTATTTTTGAGCGTTATTTAGCGAAGTTCACCTGTTCAAATCCGATAGCCAAATATTTATCTGAGATAAATGGGTTTAAAATGAAAACTTTTTGATTGCTTTTGATTTGACGGGCCCTCAAAAAGTATTCATTTTAAGTTACAAGATTGCAAACAATATAATAACAGAAGTTGATTTACGAAAATCGTAACTTTCGTATCACATCAAGTATACAAATTGTTAGTAATAATAAAGATCGTATTTTCTGTCTTCCGCAGGCTTCCCAAAAGATCTCAAATTTAATGTATCTGACAGACGATAATTCTTATACAGATACAGATGTTTGGTCTTTCCAAAGAAAATAAGGTAAGCCACAAACATGAGATATGTATATGAGCACACGCAAGCTATCATGATTGAATGTAATATTACATATGTGTATACATAGATACAAGTCAAGCAGATAGCAGAACAGGTCCACCTACAAGCATAATTTTTTACTCCCTTTTCAAAAAAAGAAGAAAAATCCAAAAACAAAAGCAAACACATAAAGAAACAATTTTTAAAGCTGCACATTTTTGGCACGCACACTAACACATGCTCTCCCACTCTCACTCTCTCTCGCTCTCTCTCCTAACTGAGTGAGTAAAGTAAATGCCGCTGCTGCTGCGGCGCAATCGATCGCCACGTGCGCTTTCATCACGTGGTCTCCCACACACACCACACACATGCACTCACACACTCGTGCGCGCACGCGTGTGTACACTTTACACACATACCAAGACGATAATGACGATATATCCATTTCTTTTTGGGCGGCGCCGCAGCCAGCGCTGACGTTGACGGCCACTGCAACTGCGACTGTTGCGCTAACAGCAAGGCTTGAAGTGCGCTGAGACGGCTCAGCAACTCTGCGAGCAGCTCGCGCTGGGCTGACAGGTAATCAATGTCTAATTGCCGTGGTTTCTGTTGTTGCGACATATTACTGTTTACATGTACCGAACGAATAAACCAATTGCGAGAGGTAGAGCCCAATGGCCGGCAGCCCTAGCGCGCGACTAAACGGCAAATGTGGTTCTAACTGCGCGCGCTGCCAAAGCTGACAACGAAATGCATAATAATGCAAATTGGAAACAAAAACAACACACGCATACGTTAGCATATTACAGTTACAACAACAACAATAACAACAATTGCATATGTCATCGATCAACAGGAAAGAGCTGTCAATTTCTATTGCGTGCTTTTAGGCGACAAGTGAAAAAAGGGGGAGGGGTGGGAGAGCGCTTAGTACATTGCCTCTCCGCACACATACTCATGATTGCGTGAGAGAGCAGAAGTGGAATTGCATTGAGTACATATGAGGCTGAGTGAAAAGTAACGATTCAGCTACCGTTGATGATTACACATTCTCGCGTATGCGATGTATGTATGTAAGTACATAAAGAAGTAAGTGTGTACATTCTTACTCATTTCCTTTAATATATCGCTATCATTTCGATTTATTGATATCGGTATTTAAATTATGACATAGAAACATCCCAAATGCGATTGCATTTACAATTTACGTGCAATTACTAATTTCATATCGTCGCGGATTTTTAATCATTTATGACATGGTTCCATAGAAACTAGTCAGCAAGAGTAATGGCAGATTCAAGAGCCACCCACTCATGCACTCAACCCATACTCTCTTCCATTTACTCTTAAACACACATACACATACTAACATATATGCATGTGTATATGCATGTTGCACCCATAAGCTGCTCTGGGTTGCATAACATTTGCAGTTGCTTTCCGTCAGTTTGTTATTTGTTGTTGTTTCTGCCGAGCTCAGCTGAGCGCAGGATGGCTAAAAACTAATACAAACACACATGCACATGTACCTAAACACAAAAACAACAGGGGGCGCACCAGCAGCAGCGGCAAGTTAAGACAGCTGTCCAAATATTACAAGCGCCAAATAACGGGCATGCAACAACAGCAACACCAGCAACACAAATTGTAAGTGTTAAGAAAATAAACATAAAACAAAAAAATAACATAAAAAGAAAGGCAGACGCTAATAAAAATATGAACGAGCTCTGTCCAAAAAAGACAACAAACCAAAAAAAAAAAAAAATGCGTACAAAGTTCATTGACTTTGCTTTACAGTGCCGCGGCGTGCAAAAGACATAGAGAGAGAAAGAGGGAAAAAGAGCGCTGAGAGCGCCTCTCGCAGTTTGAACATTGTGTTTGCAATGACAAAAAACAAACACACAAAAGCAGCAACAACAGCAGCAAAGCAAAGAGAGAGCTACGCGCTCCGCCTCTCTCTCTCTCTCACACGCTCTCTGGAGCGCCGCTCACGTGGGGCTGCTGGCAGCGCTCGCATAAACAACAATGGGGGCTGCTTATATGCGTGCGTTCGCGCGCCTCTTTCTATATATGTATGTGTGTTGTGTATGAATGCTGCCATGTAGGTCTATGACTAATTTGTCTGGTTGTTTTTCATGGTTGCGCTTGGCTGGCGACAGGCAAGAGAAAAAGAGAGCGCACAAACAAGCGAGCGAGCGGCGACATGACGTGACCCCAAACAACAACAGCAACAAGTACGAGCGTACGTGCAAAAAGCCAAAGACAAAATGGTAATAGCATACACATGTATGTATGTATGTACATGTGCATGGGTTTGTATACGTACGCATACGTTCATATGTACATATATGTATGTATAGGCTGTTTTGTATGTGGCACCCAAATGAGTACAGCAAAAGCTACGCAAACGAATAAAACGTATGTATGTAAGAAATATGAAAACATTATTGCCTCTTGGCTTCCACCACACACCCCTCTTTCCAGCCATTAGCCAAGGCAATGAGAGCAACAATAACAACAGCAGCTAAAGTAGGCAGCAAATTTAGCACATGCAAATTTGGCTGGCTTGAGCTGAGCAAACAGAAAGCAGCAAAAGCGCTAAAAATATAACAGTACCTGCTGCGGCTGTTGCCGCCGCACTTGCAATCTGGCCACAAGAGAGCAGCGTATGGGCAAGAGAGAGAGAGAGAGAGAGAGAAGAGAGAAGAGATATCGCGCCTGGCAGCTTAATTTTTTGGCTGCCAGTGTGGCTGAACAGTGCGCGCCCACGCAAAGTGCACTGCTTTTACAACGCAAACAAGGTCAAAGCAAGTTTAAATGCAACAGCAGAGGGAGAAAGAGAGCAAATCGAAGTCATAAACTGGGACCTTATTTGATTTTGGAATGTTGCATGGTGATGCATGATATTTGCGTTAGAGACTTGTAGCTTAGTGTTAAATGTTCGACACTCACCCGAAACGATGCTGCGACCTTCGCTGCTGCGCCCCGTTACCGCTGCCGTTGCCACCAATTGCCCATTGCTGCCATTGACGACGACGGCGGCGTTGCTGCTGCCGCTGCCAGCGTACTCATATTCGTGAGTAACAATTAATTGACTGCGTGGACTGCTATGGCCAATGCTGAGACCGACTGCTGCTTCCACCGCTGCTGCTGCAGCGGTGCCGTTAGTCAGTCCATTATGGCTGTTTACGATGGCGGGTGTTGTTGTTATTGCTGCTGCTGCTGCTGTTGGCGTGTTGTTTCTGTTGAGTTGGCTTGCGCTGTTGTTGTTGTTGTGAGCAGTGCTTTTGCTGCAGTAGCCATTGCCATTGATGAAATGCCCGCCAAGAGTGATGGCAACGTCGTCCCCGTTGCTCACCGTTAGCTGTAATCGCTTGAGGTTTTCCTGCTGCTCAATGTATTGAGCAGCGTGCAGTAGCTCTGTTATGCCGTCCTGTGACATAGCCGCGTCTCACACAGCCGCCTACACACACAAACACACACACGCACACACACACACCACACACACACACTCGCGCACACACACACACACAGCGCAGACGAAGAGAGCGATCGAGCGTAGAAGAGAGAGAGAAAGGGAGTCACTCAAATTTGGGTCGACACGTTTACAGTTGAAATTCGGTTGGTTTTGTTGTTGTTTGGCTTCGTCTTCTTCTTCTTCTTATTGTTGTTTTTGCTTTTGGCGTAGGATGCAGTTTTTTGTAGTTCTTGTTGCTGTTGGTGGTTATTGCAGTAGCAATAGGCCCCGTTACTTTTGATTAAATTTGTATGTTTGTATGTATGTACATATGTGTGCTGAAATGAGAGTAAATCGCAATTAAAGCTACGATTAGTATTCAGTATGACTAAGAACAAATTTAATCAGCAAATAGCTCATACAGCCAACAAAAATAATTTATACGATTTAAAAGTGATTGGCATATTTGTATATAATGTTAAAATTAAACATTGCTGTTAAATTGTTTTTCACATAGTAAATATATTTATTGACTGGAAAATACTATATTTTAAAATCGAAATCTATCTAAATCGATTTCAGTGCTTAAACTGTAACTGTAGATTGTTTATAACAAACAATTACAATAATAGCTATACCGTTAACTTGTATTTTATTGCACATGCAAGATTTAAGCATTTAAATAAAATATAAAAAATATTAATTCTCTGCTCTGCTGTTTATTGGTACTTGGGGATAGCGAAACTAAAATATTTGTCGCCTGTATGCGCAGCTAAAGGCAGCAGCGCAGTGGCGTCGCAGCGATCATGGGCAGCTGTTGTGTTCATGGTACTTGTGCACAGCCAGCTGCGTGGCGGCAAAAACACAAACACAAACAACAAACGCAAAGACACACACAAAAGAGCGGCCGCCCCAACAAGTTGCAGAGCCGCGACGCCGATACCGACGCAGCGGTCGCCTATCAATGAAAATTACATTGACGCGTGCGCGAATTCGATGTCGGCAACGTCAGCTGCTGCTCATATTAAATGCATGTGTGTGTGTGTCAGACCATTGACAACTAATGCTGCATTGTATTTTTGTCATAAGTAGCCCCGTTCATAATTCATAAAAAGGTCAAGGGTCGAGGCATTCGACAGTCGGCACCTGGCGACAACAGAAGGACATTGCAGCCGGCTGCCGCATACAAAACGCTACAGAACGTAACTGAGAGAGCGAGAAGCAGCGAGGGTCTTATGCTGCTGTTACAGGGAGCGCAAGCTTTCTGGCGCGCAGGAGCTTTATTTATTATTTAGCGTGGGCGCTGTTGTTGTCAGTCAGTTGTCAGTCGTCTCTCTCTCTCTCTCTCTCTCTTCCTCTCCATAGGTCTGTAGTACGTGTGCTTTGCCTTGACATTAAACGCAATTTGATGGTCGCCTCAGGGTTCACAGGAGCAGAGCTTTGCCGCCTTTGTAAATGTTCACGAATACATATGCACATATACATATACATATGTTATTTTGTGACGGGGTGCGACGTTGACATTTCCTTTTTGCAAATTGAAAAGAGAGTAAGAGAAAAGAGAGGAAGAAGTTGTAAGAGAGCCAGCGTGCGTGTTAAAGGTTGACAAACTTGCGAGTGGCCAAATTCTATTAAATATACAAATGCAATTCGCTTTAAATAGAACACAATTCGCAATAATTACCAAAGTTAACAAGAACAAGCCAAAGCTGGCAATTATCCGCCCTCCCCACCCGCCCACAACCCGCATCCAAGGGCCGTGCTGCGGTCACTATTTGGAAACGTGACTTTCGACAGCGAATCTTAAACTCAACGCGATGACGCGACGGCTGCCTTATCAGCTCTCTTCGTACCTTAACCAGAAATCGACCCTGTGTGCCAGGAACTACAACATCGGCAACAACAATAGCATATCAAGCAACCCCATGGGCCAAGGGTCGGTGTCGCACCTCGTCATATTTCCCAATACTTTACGGCCCATTGTCGTCGTCGGGCTTTCTTTCCATCTTTCTTTTCGGGTGAGAGCATCGTGTGAAAGAAACCTTTCGAGAACAGCCCGTAGCTTAGCAGGAGGGGGCAGAGGGGTTGTTGCCATTCTGAACGCAGTCAAATTTATTCCTAGCACTAAGCACTTAAGAATCCCTTAAACCGGATCCATTCCTGCAGCGCCTGAGAACCTAAAAGTCAAAAGGCAAAAACTCTATTCGGCTTTTTGGAAAAATTAATAGGACACAAATTATTTAACATTGTGGTGGATTAAGCCACAGTCAAAAGAAGAAAATGCGAATATATATGTAAATGTGTTTGTCTAAAATCAGCATTCACCTCGAGGCTGAATATCTACTAAAGATAATCAAAGGACCAACTTTATTGAATGTATGTATGTGTATGTGCAAATATACATAATATTTATATACATACATATAAACAAAGTATGTGTGCTTTAATCAACAAAGCTGTAGATCGCCGTTGTATGTTGTCATTCGATACATATCACACTTGAAACTTAATATTTTTAAGTACATAAAGCAACAAACAAAAAATGAGTAAACTGCGCTTGTGTGAGTGTGCCCTAATTATGTGCATGCATACCTGCACATACATACATATATGCGTATGTGTATTGAATAAAGGGCAAATGCGTCTCATAATCGACAGATGATGATTCACAGTTCATAACACGATTTATCTGAGAAGCAGCAAAGAAAATCTCTTTTTCATAAGCTTTTAATAAACCTAATGAAGTTTTCCCATAAAGATTTCAAAAGCTTTATGCTTACTTTACGGGGAAGTACCGTTTTACAATCCGAACAATATATACAGGTTTCTTCAAAGCTACCCCTTAAAAGAAGTAAGATAAATAGTATAATCATGGCGATTGTATTAAATATATATATATACTTAATGTTCATCTTTGTTCTTTGAAATGGTAAATTAAACGATCTCCAAAAATTAGTAATTTTAGCGAACGAAATGCGCTGATCTCGCAGATCAAAACAGCTAGAGTCAACAAACGTGACAGAAAATTCCTCGCATATGAGTAATATTACGTTTATTCACTTTCCAACACTTCACTAAATTCAAAAAGAATGGGAAATACTCAGACATTTCTATGTACTGCATACTGTCTGTATGTTTTGTAACATGTTTGGCTCCAGTTGGGTATATGCTAGTCGAGCAATCTAAATTTGTTTTTACCATATCAATATTATTGTCAGTCGTGCGTGATCGTACGTGCACGTTATGCTGACACGTGGCCATCTCTAGTTTCAAGCTTGTTATCGCAACAGATGCAAAATGTATATATGTATGTATGTATGCAGTATGTATGTATATGAACGGCTGTATGTTTGCAAGTAATTCTGTGTTAAGTGACACATACATACATACATAAATGCAAGCCACGGCGCCAGTTGCTGTCGCTCTTTGCTTTCAAAGTCATTCGTAAACTTTAACATTTATGTACAAAAATAAAAACATGCACATATGTACGTATATATGTACATGCATTTGTATGCATGTGTTTGCATTGATACTTTCTACGCACAATTGTTTTTATTTTATTTTATATCAGTTTATATATAAGAAACATTGAAATCTGACGTTAAAAGCAGTAAAGCGACTTAAAACGGAATGAAGAAAGTGAATTTCAAAACAACAGCATTCAGCGATTGAAGAGCTTATAAAAACAAAAGAGCGGCTAAAGCATAAAAGCACAAAACGCAAAGTGAAGAAAGCAAACAGAGAAACAAATAAAAAAAATTCTGGTGATGCGAGGGTTTTCTTGCTGAATGCTTTCAGGTTCAGTTTCGCACACAAAGAGACACGAAGTCAACGTGAGAACCAGAGATGGAGCCAACACACACGTACACACAGCAGGCAGCCCAAGAGAGCTACACACACATAGCCACGCACTTTCTTTGCATTTCGTTTTGACGTCGTTTTATTATTGTTGCTAATTTCAAAAAAAAAAAAAAAAAAGGGTTTGCAGCGTGCAAGAAGAGAGCAATCAGTTGCTTTCTCAGTTGTTGTTCCCGTTGATACTATTACTGCATATAAAAATAGCAAAATGATTGTCTGACGGTCGAAAGAGCAAGTAGCGCGAGAGAGATGTTTGTGTTTATTACGTGTCCGTCTGTGTGTGTGGGTGTAGGAGTCGCATAAAGGACATTGCCAGAGAGAGGGCGAGAGAGTAAGAGAGTCCAAGTCAGAATTCTGGCGACGTTGGCAGCGCTGCTTTGCTAATGTTGTTGCCGATAGTTAACCACATACATAACATACACAAATACACCTTTGAGTTTTTGTCATGCTTGTATTTATACAATTTATTAAAAACAATAAACACACACACAACGACAAAGACGACAGCTGCATGAGCCAAGGCACGCGCTTTGTGGCATGAGCTCGAGAAAAAAAGCTTACGCACACACACACACACGGGTGAGAACAGCGAAAAAAAGCTGAACCACGAATCCGAAAATTGCTCTATTTGGTTGTTTTTTTTCTTTTTATTTAATTTTCTTTAATACACATTTAGGTTTTTTCAGAAAAGATGTTGTATTTTGTATGTTTTGCACCTACTTCTTTATCTCATTTGTTGGCAAACGGGAATTGGAAAAAAATAGTAATTTGTTATTACTGACGCAACGGACTGACGTCGTCTGCTGCTTGCTGCGACTGCGACGACGACGCGCACGGCACGGCTAAACAACGTATAATGAAAACGGCAGGCGGCAACGCCAACGTTGACAAACTGCCAACAGCGCCAACCAAAGAGAGCTAACGAAAGGGGGTGGGAGAGAGCAAGAGAGGGAGTGAGAGAGCAAAAGCGCTTAAGTGAGTGCTGCTTGGAGCTTGCGCGTGCTTGTACTGTTTTTTTTTCTATGTGTGTGCGTGTGTGTAGGTGAAACAGGGAGAAGCGCAAATATAAGAGGAAACTAAAAGCACGCGCGCCATGTACAAAATGTGTCTGTTGTGCATGCTGGCAGCGCCCCGCCCCACCCCGTGCAAGTAAACGACACTGGCACACTCACACACTGATATACATATGTATGTGTGCATGTACATATATGAATGTACATATATACAACCGAATGTTTGTATTGTACACTGAAAAGGGCACATGCTAAAAACAAAGCCAAAAGCTGACGAACTGGTCCGCAGTAGCAGCAAAAATCGACTTCGCTGCTGCTGCGCCCTGCACTTTGAACCGAAATTGCTCTTACACACATAAATATGTAAGTATGTATGCACTTATGTACATACATACATAATCATGTATACGTGTAGTTATTAAACATACACACATATGTGTATGTGGATATGTGGAAATGCATGTATGTACATACATTGCACATATGGATGTATTTGTTGTTTTTATTTACCGTTGATATTATGAACAGTTTTTATTTGTTGTTATTTTCCACACACACACGCACACACACACACTAGCGCGTCGAAACAAACTTATATACATATGTACATACACTTGAAAAAAATAAACGATAAAACTGCAAAAATTAACAAAGGTTTTTGCTAGCTGCTGCTTTGTTTTGTATTTTGAATTATTTTTGATCGTTCGCTTATGTTACTCAGCTTCTGCTACTACCCGCACACACTGCAATGACACAAGCAAAAGCAAACTAAATGCTGGCGCTGTGGCTGGCTTTAACTTTGACTGGCATAGCCGCCGTCGCAGTCGCAAGCGTTGCGCCAACAGCAGCAGCAGCAGCGGCAACAACAGCAAAAGCATTTGCAAAAACAACAAAAGCAAACGCACAGTGCAGCCGCAATACGCGAGAGCAGAGAGCGCGAGCGCACGTGACGTGGTGCCGTTAAAATGTGTGTGTATTTGTTTGTGTTTGTGTGAGCGCGAAACAGGAAGAAGAAAACAAAAACAACAACAGCAGCAGCAGCGGTCGCGGCAGAGCTCTGTAATTGTAAATAGCAGCGACGGCAAGAACATTAGGGTGGCACCGAATACGGTTGTAAGCCCGATTGTACTGGAAATTCGAGAGCATGTTTTATTTTTAATGAACTTTAAGGCGCATTGCTAATAATCAGTGGGGGCGCTTCAGAGGGGCTGTCGTTGCTATTGCTAATTGGGAATTGGGTTACAATTACGACACTTGTAAAAGACTTACGTTTCATGCCTGACAGTTGTATCTTTTGTTTTAGACTACATTTTTCGGCAGATACTTTACAACATTGCATACAAATATACAAGCAAAGTTACGCGCGTTGATTTTATTTTTTTATATTAAAAAACTCCTTTTATTCTAATAAGTTCGTATCATAAATATATTTACAAGAAGCTCTTTCTTGATAGGCCTCAAAATGGTGTTGGGACCACCCTAAGATGCTGCGATTGCCCTGCGCTTATGCTGAGTCGCAACGTCTTCAAAGCTGACTGTAACTGCGATAGCGGCAGCGGCAGCGGCTGCAGCAGCAGCTTCTTTATGCAGCATTATTGCTGCGTTCGGAGCGTCAACAGTTGTAAGTTATTGTTGCTGATGTTGCTGTTGCTGGTGTGCTGCAGCCGCTTTTTATGCACTGTTTCGTTTTCCAAAATGTTTTGTTGGCCGGGCTTTTGTTATTGTTGTGATGCGTCGTCGTCGGCAATTTCGAAACGTGCTGGCATTTGTGTGGAACGGAACTTGTTTTGATATGCATGGGCTCGTCGTAGCGGCAGCGCTGCCACCGTCGCAAGTAATAGTTGCAGCGGCTGCGACAGCGGCAGCGGCCGCAAACTTGCAGCCCCAACAACAACAGCAGCAGCAACAGCAAATTGTTTGTTTTTACAATTCCTCTTGCATTTTACTTTGTTGTGCGTTTCCCTTTATATACTTGTACATTCATACATACATATATGCGTAAACATTTATGTATTTATCGATGTACATACTACATATGTATGTATATGAAGGGGCAGCTTCAGCGCAGCGAAGTTTTAAGAAGGTTCATTGTACTTTTTTGGGTCTCGTCTTCGCCTCTTTGTTGCGCTTCTTCTAAACATCTTACCGATTTTTTTTTTGTTATGCTCTGTCGCGCGTTCACCCATATGTGTGCGTGTGTGTGTGTGTGCGTGTGTGCATCATATGGGTCAAAATGTACAATTTGAAATGCGTAGTTATTTGGCTATTGTTGTTTAACATTCCTATATGCTCTTTGCGCGAGATGTTTGTACATAAATTTGTACATGCACATACTATATGTACATACATTGGTAAAGATGTAAGCATGTACATATGTATGTATGTATGTACGTCCAACTGGCGAAAGAAGTTGTGAAGTGCACAGCAAAACAGGAAAACACACTAAAGCCAACCTCAATAGAACACAACGAAAACAGGCTCAAATATGATCTGATAGCTCCTCACATTCTGGGAGCCCTATCGAGAACACATACTTGATTTATTCCCTACAGGGATACATGTCAATACATATACTACATGTACACATGCACCTGCATATATGTAAGTTCTCAAGTCCTGTTAGTCATGCGAATTCTTTTTCATTTGCCTTGCGTTGATAAGAGATTACTAAAAATCATAGTTTAAACTAATAATAAACTTTCGCTGATCCACTTTGACATACATGTGTATATACATATGTACATAGTAAAGGACACTGAGCAAATATGGGCTATATTTAACATTTACCCTGCCTAAAGTTTGTTCAAACAACTACAATTCCATCTCGATTATCCGCATCTCTATTATCCAGGCACATCTATTATCCGGAATGCCAAATGGCTGATGAGAGGAATCTCTCATAACCGTTCATAGATGCATATTCGAATGTTCTTGTCAAATATAATGAAAACTTTAAAAATTTTGAATATTTATATTCGAGTTCTTTTAACCGGGATTTTCGAGTATCCGAGCTCGTTCCCGACCATTGCGATTAATCGAGGTTCAACGGTATTTGCTTAAAAATGTAGTTGCATTTATTTATAAATGAATTATTTGCGCAATTGTTAAATTCTAAAATTAATTGCGCGTGTACAACGTGAGTAGCCTGGTGAGCTCTATATAACGGGTAAGTTGGCCCAATAAGTTGTCAGTTTGCACTTTCACTTCTAGGAGTAAAGGGATCAAACAGGGTTTCTGCTGAATACTTCGCCATGAAGCTAGTTATTGGCTGTCTTATTGGTAATATCGAATTGTATGAGGGCTAACCGATTACAAACGAAAATTATACATACTTTCTCTAGCTAGCATCGTGCTTTTAAACAGTTCAAAGCTCTGTTCAGCTGAATGCGAGTGCTCAGAAACGAAACCAAGTCCAGTAACAACTACAACAGAGGCATGCACACCTGAAACGACACCCGCTTGTCCTCCAGTAACAACTCCACGTTGCTCAACAAAAACAATTAAGCCAACCAAGCCAACCAAGCCAACGACAACACGAAGGACAAAGACAACGACAACACGAAGGACAAAGCCAACGAAAACACGAAGGACAAAGCCAACAACAACACGAAGGACAAAGACAACAACAACACGAAGGACAAAGCCAACAACAACACGAAGGACAAAGACAACAACAACACGAAGGACAAAGCCAACGACAACACGAAGGACAAAGCCAACAACATCACGAAGGACAAAGCCAACAACAACACGAAGGACAAAGACAACAACAACACGAAAGACAAAGACAACGACAACACGAAGGACAAAGCCAACAACAACACGAAGGACAAAGCCAACAACAACACGAAGGACAAAGACAACAACAACACGAAGGACAAAGCCAACAACAACACGAAAGACAACGGAACCGACAACACCAAAAACGATACCAACAACCACACCTAAAACGATACCAACAACCACACCAAAAACGATACCAACAACCACACCTAAAACGATACCAACAACCACACCAAAAACGATACCAACAACCACACCAAAAACGATACCAACAACCACACCTAAAACGATACCAACAACCACACCTAAAACGATACCAACAACAACACCTAAAACGATACCAACAACAACACCCAAAACGATACCAACAACCACACCAAAAACGATACCAACAACCACACCTAAAACGATACCAACAACCACACCAAAAACGATACCAACAACAACACCTAAAACGATACCAACAACCACACCAAAAACGATACCAACAACCACACCAAAAACGATACCAACAACCACACCTAAAACGATACCAACAACCACACCTAAAACGATACCAACAACAACACCTAAAACGATACCAACAACAACACCCAAAACGATACCAACAACCACACCAAAAACGATACCAACAACAACACCTAAAACGATACCAACAACAACTCGGAAGCCAGGGTGCCCATGCAAGCCATGTGGACCTGGCGGTAGGCCTTGTTTCGCGTGTCCACCGAAAGGACCGCTCTGCAAGGACCTCTTGGCCCAATTGGAATCGGTTAAGCGGAAGATAAGGAGGTGTGTCTGTGCCCAAGATCCTTGGTTGTCGCTATGAGCACAAAATGGAACAGGTAATCAGACCATCAGCTACCTTCTCGATGTCTACAATCTTGAACGATGGCTGTTGACTGCCATCTAAATTCGTTGACTAGTTATTTAAAAACCTTTTTTTATTAAAAAAAATAAAATAAAATTAATATTGACTGCATTCAAATGATTAGCTTAATAATCGATTTAGTAGATTTTGAATGTTGGATTTTCATTTTATTTATTTAAGTACTTAAGTACATTTATTAAGTACTGGCTGAGTAGCTCCCCGCAATCGGTACATCACGTTTCAAGTAGCATTTTACATAGATTATGGAAACTGAGTTTGAGTCGATGGGATAAAAAAACAAAACAGTTGCATACTACAGTTTTTCGCTGATTTTCCGAACTTGGTGGTGGATTTACGAAAATAGCTGAAATACGTATTCCTTAATCTCTATATATAAAACTGTATGTCCTAACTGACTGAATGACTTATTGACCGACTGATTGGTGATCAGTGTTTCACACTTTTCGAAAAACTGCAATCCTCCTTTGTGAAAATGGGGGTCAAAGATTTGGTGGGTGACATTTTGCGCACAAATTTATTTCCAAAGATCTATATGATAAATCATTTAAGAAGTGTTTCACACTTTTCGCAGAATCCAAACTTCTTCGGTAGAAATGCGATTCAAAGATTTGTTGGGCGAAGTTTAAGTTGTGTCCGATTTGATTCAAACTTATTTTCAAAGCTCTACATAAAAACTTAATGAAACCGTGTTTCATCGATTTGAAAAAATTCCACCCGCAACAGTGGTAAATTGGCGTTTCGCCCTCAAATTTGTTTCCATGTATCTGCATAACAAATCATTTAAGACGTGTATTACTCTTTGGGCAAGGCCGGGTAAGACCCGCTAGTAAGAATATAATTTTGAAGCCGATCGATGAAAATTAAAAACTTTCATTAAAAATGGCGGATTTTGCGAAAAGAGTGAAACAAGTGTACAATAAACGTTAATAATAATCTATTGAAATGAGTTTGATTGCGATCGGATGGTAAACAAAAAAGTTGGATACAACCGTGTTACAGAATCACAGCTAACCACAAAAAAAAAACAAGTAAGAGGTTCTAGTCGGGACCTCCCGGCTAGGGGATACCCTGAACCCTCTTCTA